AAAGTTGCCTCCTTGCGTGTCCCTGCTTGAAGCCGTGTAGATCCCGAGAATCGATAGCGACGCATCATCGATTGAATAACACAATAACAGGGAATCCAGTCACGTGACCGACGCTCGTGTCGCCAGAACGATGAAATATGGAATTTTATGTTACATCAGGAAGATGCAGACCCTTCTCGAAGGTCAATGCTTGCGAGTGGACGCTTCACGGCGATCAAAGATTTTTTCAAGATTGAAAATCTTTTAATTTTCGAACAGCCGAAATTCACGTCCCGTTATATGATGATCATTTTTACAATCGCTTGGCTGAGCACTCGAACGCCAGCAGATTTTTATCTTCGGCTTTTAGTAGTATAGTAGTATTATCATGCACTGAAATAGACATGCTTGTTGAAAAATCGTGTGCGTTCACCAGAATAGGAATTTTTGAAATTGATTATGATTTACAGGAATTTACTTCTTATATTTTAATATATCTCTATGTAGCTTAAATGTATATCTTATATATCTGTTTCGTAAATTATCGTCCACTAAAATAATCATATATTAATAAATAATTTCCCCCATTTTCTTGCATCGCTATGCTCCAAACATCTTGAGCTTTAGTTAATTTAAGTGTACGTCTTATACACCTTCATATATTATTCTTACGTTAATTTTATATCTTTTTCGTAAATTATCGTCGACCGAAATAATCGTATCTTAATATACAATTTTCCTCATTTTCTTCCATCACTGTACTCTAGATAGCCTAAGCTTTGATCGAGTTAAGAATCCCCTTTCGACGATCATGCTGCCTCGAAAAGGTTCTGTCGCGGTAGACCAAACGCACGATAATCAAACGTTGAAATGTGCATCGCCTCGATGCACTCGACTCGGCACAAGGTTAGCACACACTGCGTTTAAGGAGTCGGTGTCATCGTTTGTATCGCGGAGGTCTAACCGAGGAATCATCGGAACGGTGACGTCAATTAGCCGTGACATTACTCTCAGCGAGGATTGATTCCAATTAAACCTCGTGACTCGAAAGGGTAGGATGCTTTTCCGGGGTCGCGGATCCCGTTGCCTTCCTACTTGTTAATAGTCAGAAGAACGAAGCGTTGCCAATCCATGAATAATAGGAGACACCTGGTATCTAGTCCCAGTGGGCATCCTCTGGGAAGACGTAAATCTACAGTTACGTTTTGTTATTCCTGTCTAGTTGTAATAATTGGATTACGTGGAGATTACCAGCAGAAAGCAACGAACAGTTGATGCTAGGTAGAGTCAGCATTGACGTAGACATCGTCTAAAAAAGATTCGCTACAGTTCTACAGTATCTACAGTTATATTCATCAGTTTTTGTAGCGTCGAAGCAATATAACCAGAATATGCTTCGATGTCCGATGAAGCCTTTGACTGATAACCCACAAAGGGGGATTAACCGAGTGTACAGTTACATTCTTCAGGTTCTCCGCCGCTGAAAGAATTAGGTACTACGGAGATTGAGATCAGAAACGTAACTACCAGAAAATTCCAAAATTCCAAGTGCGATTAAAGTTAATCATCCCGGAGTCCCTGAAAACTGGAATGGCACTCGAAGTAAATAGAAGTTAATCCAGAGGTGTCTGGATGCCTTCCAGTTCTCAAATCAGTGCGCGAATGCGTCATGGGGCGGCTTATACAAAGAGGAATGTACCGCGATGAGGTATCCAAGCGCAAATGGACGACGATAAAAGCAATTCCGAAAGACATCAGGCTACAAGAGAAAGACAGAAAATGGCGTTCCACTTAAGGTGCCAATCAAGGAGATTTGCATTCCAGGGACGTTCGCTGGGAGTCGCGAAACTGGCGTATCGTCGGCTGTGGTTAACCCTGAAAATTATACGCGAGAAAGGAATGTGGTCGACGACGGAGACTCGCGTGCTTTCGTCCAAGAGTGCAGAGGTATGCGGCGTACGTAATGCACCGTGCACCGTGCAGGAAACGCTTGACTTGGAGTCACGGTGAATGCTGGCGATCCTATCCGCGTCCCAGAGTGCCTCGACCCTTCCTGTTATCCCTAGACAACCAGCATTATACAATGTAGTCTAGATGTAGATGTAGTCTTCGGAAAGCGCTCTTGCGCGGGCAACTATACGAAACCTAACCCTAATTTGCTGCTTGACTCTTCTTTGGTGCCATTTTTAAATATTACTTTTGTTGCTATAGCTCTTTTAAGAGACCTCGACAAAATATAATTAAATCATTTCAATTGCTGAATTTTGTTCGTCAATTTTCATCTAATCGTAACGAACGCGATGCTTTGATACGAAATTTTTTATAGATAGTAAATGGAATTAGTTTCTTACCTTATAAGCATCGTTCTCGAAAAGTGCTCGCGCGAAGTGCAGCTTCAGGGGTCCCCGAAACATAACCTCTGTCTCGCTTTGAAACGTCGATGGTGGCATAACAGTGACTACACGCTTGTTTATAATTGCATTGTTAGTTTATTATTAATTAATTTTGCATGGCAATCGACGCGTAACAATATATATATATATATATAACAGGTTCGCAATTCAAGTTGAAAAACATGGATCTCCTGCTTCTTTTTCGCTTCGCGAATTTGTTTGCCTTTCTTGCGCGATACCGATCGTTTATTTAAATTTTACGCAATCGCACAAGAATTTGTTCAAGTACATTTTGAGAATGCAAACATCGCGAATGTTAAGAGCCAAATGTTTTACTTTTGCGTAGTAGATTATTTTAGTATCTTTTTTTGCTAAAATTTTACCCGATTGTTATTAACGTTCGGTACGCAGAACGGCATTCCTGGCGCTGCGCACGAGTCGGCGGTCTTTAGAGGCTTACGTAAGAGAATGCTAGCACACGTAAGCGCGTTGCGAGAAAATTCAACGGCGAATTATTATCTGTGTGAAATGAAATTACCAGGATACAAGACTGAGAGATTCCATCGTTTTCCTGCGATAAATATACATACATATATTTTCGTTCATGGTATACGTCCGCGCGATAAATAAATAACGACGACGTTAGTTTGCGTTTCACAATGAATTCGCGCCATTTTCATCGGTTGACTCATCGTTCGGCAAACCTTTATTTTTCCTACATAAATTTTTCATTTATTCCAATTTTACCTGGACGGTTTTTGATTTTTTTCGAGGCTTAAAACTCTAATTTTCCTATTCGCAGTGATACCTCGATATAAGGACATCGGTCGACCCCTCTCGAGTCGTTATATCGAGGGATTACTGTATTTAAAACGACGATTCTCCTATTCCTTCCGAGTTTGCCAAACGAAGAATCAATACAATCGCAATTTTGTAAAAAAATTCTAATTGTTACTATCGATCCTTAACAATTCGTAACCCTTTAACTCTAAAGTGTAACTATTCGCAGAGAAATTTATAAGACCGACAAACTGTTGTTAAACATCGAATACCAAGAGAACTCGAAGAAAACATGGTTCCCACGGAAGGACGAACATGGCTCTGCAAATATTTATCACGAAAGACGAGTTTTTGGCTAAAGGGTCGAAGAAAAACAATTATTGTCGAGCTTTCGTACAATCATCTGGCACATGCGATTAAATAAATAAGTTCCAGTTGCACCTGTGTCCGGCTTGGAACTTAAGGGCGACTTAAAATCAAGAATTGCTTTTTTAAAAAGAAAGAAAGAAAAAAAAGAAATCGACGCTTCGCGGTCTTCTAACGAAACGGATACGTCAAATAATGAAACTCGAGGATCTGGAAGACCAGCGGAGTGTCGAGTTGCTCGTTCATAGTTCCATTCGATCCTTTCGTTATGGAGAAAAACTGTAGGTACTCTCTGTCGCGAAATATAATTACAAGGAAAAAAAAAACAAGAATTCTAGAAAAGAAACATCGTAGTAAAAATAGCTAGATAAATTTGGATCTAGCTGTTGCACTGGTTTAAAGTTCCCTCGCGAAGTCCATTAACGTTATGCTGGTCTGACGGAGCACTAAAATGTTCGTTAAAAACAGATCCTTCGTTTGCTTGATAAAATATAATCTTTCTCGGTCGTTTAGCTATTTCAATGGCCGCTGGAGAGTGACAGTTAAGTGTTTCGTGACGCGTAGGCCTAGAACAGCGAAAACAGAACAAAATATTTAATTTAGACAAACAAAAATACAATAAAAGGTAAAACAACAAATTCTTTTTATCAGAATCAGATTGGAATCGGAGTTCTGCTTCACTTTCTCTTCGTGTCTTCGATCCGTGAAATGAAAATTCACATTTTCTGCATCCTTCTAATTAAGTAAGGAGGTACAAATGTTACTTTTTGAGATAGCCAGCTCCTGCGTCATGGTCTTTAATTATATTCGCGATTCGATCGCTTTTTACCTGTACCGAACTCGTTTTTGAGAACCGTAAGAAGCAGAGGAGCCGTTCCAATCTAATAATGGCCAAGCATCCACGAAAACTCGCGTGTCATCCTGCCGTGTAAAACAACCCGAGCCTTCGCCATAGCGAAAGGACAGAACGCCGAGGACGATCGAAAAACGAAGATACGAGTCGCGAAGTCGGACGTTTTATGGCGTTTGGCACTGATTTCTACGCTCGGTAGCTGTCGTTTCAAGTTGCAAAAAATAAAACTGTCGTGTGTGCACAGTGAACGGGTATACCTGTCCTGGGAGGGGGTCAAAAAATCGCAGCCTTGGCGTGGAAACCAGAATTGGGTGGCCAGAAACCGCGACAGGTTCCTGAGATTAAGTCTCGGCGATATTCAAAGAAATCAAATTCGACATTTAAATAAATTTTTCTGTTCCGTGCTATTCAATATTTTGTTCGTTTCTTGCACAGTTTTTGTGGATTTATAACAATTGGAAATACGGGAATACGCATGATGATGTGTACTTATACAAAAATATGTGTGAAGAATCGGTAATAAAATACATAGGAACAGTTTAATTTAAATTTCGAAGTTCATATTTATATCTGTGGAAGCATAAATTTGACTAACATCCAATTCTAATTGAATTTTATTTGATTTCCAGATACTCGCAGTGAGATTAGACATGGATTGGTACACCTAAGAAAGGGCTTCGCGCGAAGACAATGCATGGCGAAGCATTGGCCTTTAATTCACGAACAGTGAAAGGAATTTTCGTGGTGTCCCAACACCGCCATGCGACAGCCGTTTTATTCGTCGAGCGATAAGTGTCACTGGGTCAACGTTTCATGAACTCCTCTGACCACGAAACTCTTACGAAAAACGATTGTCTAGCCTGCCTACACGATCGTTTCCGCTCGACACAAGAAACCCCGTGACGATGTGCTGCTGAAGAGGAAAGGCTAACAAAATCTGAGAATCTTGCAATATTCCTTGGCAAGTGAACGAATCTAATTGGTAAATGATCGTTAATTTCATTAGAAATTAAATAATTCATATTTCCAATGTTTAGGAATTACTCGACTTCGGTTTTTAAATATTATGGATTTCCCAAATTTTTTAGCTTTGATGACTCAATTTCTTAATTTTCAATGCTTCGAATTTCCCAATTTTCAGTGATCTCAATTTCTCAATTTTCAATGCTTCCAATTTCCCAATTTTCAGTGATCTCAATTTCTCAATTGTCAATGCTTCCAATTTCGCAATTTTCAGTGATCTCAATTTCTCAATTTTCAATGCTTCCAATTTCCCAATTTTCCGTAGTCTCAATTTCTCAATTTTCGATGCTTCCAGTTTCTCAATTTTCACTGACCTCAATTTTATCATATTTAATTCATGTGGATCTATATTAACATAGATTTATAAAGGATTCTACGTACATAATTTGCATAAATCCTTTGAGGTGAACACCTAGTCATCACCCTGGAATTTCCTCAGGGTAGATAAAAAAGTGTCCGACTTCCAGCAGTCGTATCGGATCCATATCATTTAATTTACATATCATCGTTCCAGCCTCTTGTCGAAAAAAATATAAATCTAGCGAGCAAAGGAGGCTGTCCAATCGCACGTGGGACTGTATTTCCAACCGATTATGCATTCACCGCTAATTCGGTCAGTTGTAGCGCCTTGAAACAAATATCGCCTCGCGATTCATTTTTTTTTTCAATCGAGAAACTCGTTGCGAAACAGAAGCAACAGTAAGTGGTCGATGCGATTATGGATAATTAATTTGAAAATAAATGCTTAGAACCAATCATTTCTACTTTTTATTCGATTGGAGTTGATCGGTTTGGTCATCGATGGTAATTTGCGTGCGTTAAAGCGACCATTAACAATGTTTACGCGGGACTTCGTTTTTATTTTTATGCTAGAGGGAAAATCGCGTGGCTATGTTAATTAAGGCAGCATCACGAGTAAAAGGTGTTGAGTGACGCAAGCTCTGTCATTTCTGCGCATCTTTGATAAACAGATCGTCGATGGAATTCCACAACCGTGTAGGAAAATTATTGTTGATTGCAAGAATAAGCCTGCAAGTATAATTTAGCGTAACGTTAGTAAATTCGAAATTTTAATTTCAAATGGAGTAGCGAGGTATGATCTGTTTTTAGTTACGCTTAGAACAGAATAATTTTGTAGAAGTAGAAGAAGTTTAATTGAAATTGAGTGCAATTACAGGCTCGTTAAATTCGATTTGAATGAAATAGAAAGTGTTCGGGAACAAGTGAAATCTCGAAAAAAAGACAAATGGAACGAGAAAAATGTGTGCCTTGCTGTTTTAGCGCGAACGAACGAGACGCGAGCCAGGTCAGGAATAAAAATCAGTCTGATGTTGCGAAACGCAACGCGTGGAACCGGCTGACATCGACCACGAATCGATGATAATCAAGCTTAATTGTATATGCATACGCGCCGATGGCAATGAGTATTTATCGGTGCATACGAGCGAGTCTCTGCAACCAGTTTCGACATAAACACGTACGATGGCCAACAAACACGAGCGCGACTGAATCGTGTCAGAAAAATGCCGAGTCTAATTATGTATTCGCCGATTTTATCGACATCTGAATTTATTGGACGAATATTATCACGAACTCGTCCTACGGGTAGATTTCAAATTTTTAAACTTTCGGAATTGCTCGACTTCAGATTTGGAATATTGTCAATTTTCCAGTCTTGGTGACCTCCATTTGCCAATTTTCAATGCTCTTAATTTTCCAATTTTTTGTGAATTCAATTTTCCAGTATTTGGACACCAAATTTGTCTAATTTTTCTGAATTTTCCACTTTTGGTTACCTCCATTTTCCAATTTTCAATGCTTTCAATTTTCCAATTCTTTGATACCTCAATTTTCCAGTTTTCGTGATCTCCATTTGCCAATTTTCAATGCTTTCGATTTTCCAATTTTGTTGTGATCTCAGTTTTTCACTTTTTGGCGACCCTAATTTCCCAATGTCTCGCGAATTTTCCCACTCCATTAAGCCTCGTTCTAATTACATTCTCCGTTAATTGACCGGAACGGATTACTGGCTACGTCAGGTGGTGGTATTGCCACTACCGTACAAGATTACATCAAGACTTCACGGACTCTTTTTCCCATGGATTCGCGTGATTATTTACTCTATGTCAAAATGTCAAACGTGATTCCAGTGTCCCGTGTTTCATTAAATAACGGCTGATTATCATCACGGTCAATTTTCCCACAGAAAATGACTTGATACCAACGGAAGACGCCACCAACCTCTTCCCTTCTCTATTAACTCTAATGCTCTTGCAATCTTTCATTCCACAACCAACGTGACGACTATTCAAAACTATAAATTCTTTAACGACTCGATATTTTCTAACCATAGTACAAAGTACAGAAATATTAAAAGATATATTTAATTAATTCTTATGAATGCGTTCAAGATTATCGTAGCGACAATTTGCCTCTAATTAGACTTACGAAAGGCTAATCAGTGAATATGTCTTCCAGTGAGGTTCACCTTGAGAAGTCTGTCATTTATTTTAATCTCATATTTCATTTCTACTTTTACGAGACTTTGAACGCGTAGAATCTTTTTTACCGTCGGTGTAGATAGAACAAGGCACGAAGTTTTAATTTCATGCTACCCGGTGTATCGAAGTTATAATTTCATGCTACCATCTCGTAGTTTCCCTACCTGGTCGTAATTTATTTTTCTCACGCAATTAAGAATAACGTTCGCGTTCTCACGAACGAGCCGGCTGAAACTTGCGAAGAAGGAATTTAAATCGACGCCATTACCTTTCACAGAAAAAAAAATTGTTTCACCGACGAATTAGTTCTTTCACAATTTTCCGCAGTTCTTCTGTAATCGTTCAACCGAGAAAAAAGTAATTTAATTGTTCTCCTCGCGATGGCAAAAATTGCTGAGAGAATATAGACAAATATTGCCAATTACAGAGGCACCCTCTTTAGGCGCCGATACGATCGCACTTCTTTAACCAGCAGTTCCTCCTAACGTAGAAGTAAACCTATTAACCAATAAGGAATCACCATAAATCTGGAAAATTGAAATTGGTTGATTGTCTAACGAGAAAATGAACTTTCCCGTGTAACTGTCACCTCAAAAATCAGGTTACGCCTGAAGACACCTGTATCTTCCGTGAAGCTACCTGGTCGTTTTCTCAAAGAAAATATAACGCGATAGCGAGTTGCATGCTCGCGCGGTTTCGTCATCTAACGAGCTTCGGCCATTAAAACGATCTTCTCGGGCGACAATAATTCGAGCCCGTCTAATTAGCTCGTTTCGCGACAGGAAGGTCGTTACGCCTCGCGAAGACATTATGTCATCGTACTTCTGCAAACCCCTTTCAGCTAACGTTGATCGATGTGAATTATTCAATCAACATCGCTAATTGGACCTGACACTAATTATCCCGAGACGACCTGAAAATTCGAGAATAATTCCAAATACTGAGAACCATGTGAGACCTCTTCGATGCTTCGACGAAGGCAAACGAGATTCCTGGCGTGGGACAACTTTCTCCAAAAATATTTGGAACCACTGATCTCACCTGGATGATAAGTTATTCTCTCGGAACACCTTGTACCATTCAAGATTTGACTCTGGACTCTGAATTCGTTTGTTTAAACAAAGATTTCTGCGCTTCCAATTTGTCGGAGCCCCCAGGAACGATCGAAGTCCTTTATTCGAGGGCGATCGACTTTCAAGATAAGATTAACGGGGTCACAGGTAGAAACCTGACGATGAAGATGAGCCTCCGTCGGCTTTTTGCCCGAGTAATTTTCCTACTCGGGCAAACGCTGTTCTCAGAATCGAAAGCCAACCGAACCAGTCGGTCAGGCCACCCATCACGGTTTTCCACGCTAACGCCGCGAACGAATAGATCGTTTGCCCCGGAGAAACGGACTCTTTCCTCCTTAAACGCGTGACCCGATTAGCAGTCCATCGTGGACTCCTTAAAACGAGTGAAAACGGAGACAGTCTATTTAAAAAAACAAGTATACTTCTAAACAAAACACATCAAAGAACATTCAGTCGGTTCCCAATAGTCAATAAACAAGAGGTTACCACGTTCCGTTCAACTAGAAACAAGTGATTCACTTATAGGGGTGTTTATTCTATCGTCAAGGATGAGAAGCTAACCCTAACTCTATCAAGCCCAAGAATCACGGGACGCTTGGCAACTTCCATTCTCAGACGCACTTGCGAGTCGACGTTGGATGTCCGGAGAGTCCTAACGAGGCCGGGGCCTGGGCAGCGGTTGGAGCTGTTGCTGCTGATGATGGGAGTACCCGCTCCTGGAGTTCGCCTGGGGCAGTATTCTCTCTGGACTGTCGTCCAGGTTCAAGCCGGCGACCAGTTGGGCTATCTCTCTGTCCTTCTTCTCCTCCTTGGGCAGCGCGGTGCCGTTCTGTCCGCTGAAGCCTAGAGAGGCCAGGCTGCCGTGGCTCCTGCTGCGATGCTCCGCTCGGATGCTATAAGAAAACGCCCTTTCGTTCAGGTGGCCCTTCCGTCGGTAGATACCAGTACCGAAACGGGACTCGTTCTCGGGGCTGTCTCCGGCACGATTCATCTCCGCCGTTGTCAGGTCTGCGTGAGACGCGGCGAGCCTTCTGGAAGCCCCCAGAGTCGAGGACTCCCCGTCAGGGTGTTGCCTTCTGCCCCTGTTCCCGGCTGTGCCGTACGTACCCGCTGCGTACATGGCTGCTGCTGGTGGCGGAGTCACTACTGGCAGCGGGGCATACATCGGGACAATGGGGGCGGCAGCTGGAATGGGCCTGAGGCCCCGTGGATGATGATGGGCCTTCCTGGGTAGCGTGGCGGCTGGCACTAGAAGAACCGGGGCTGGTCTGGCCAGAGTACCCGCGGCGGATCGACTGCTCGGTGGTAAGGGGTGCGGGTGATAGTGCTGTTGCCTCACTGGGTGACCCAGAGTGTGATGCCCATGGCCGTTTGTATACATTCCCTGGTGAAGCTGAGGGTGGAGATGCGCCTGCTGCAGCGGATCCTCGTGTAGTGCTCGGTTCTTCAGCTTCTTGAGTTTCTTGTTCGCTTTCCTGCGAACGGAGGAGGACGAAGACTCCTCTAGAAGCAAGGGTTGAGCAGGGGGAGGTGGTGGCGGTGGCGGAGGAGGTGGAGCGACTAGTTGCCGCGGTCTGGAGCCCTTGGTGCTTCGCAAGGTGCCTTGCTCCTGATACAAGCCGTCGACCTCGTCGCGACCTCTGGCCCAAACTTTGTGGTTCTCGTCGCCGTTGTAAAGGCTCAGGTCATCTGTCGAGGTACTGTCCAGACGAGTGGCTTGAGGGCTATCCAAAGTGGTGCTGGAGCCTCCGAGAGTGTGATAGAGGCTGTTATTCGAAGGATGACCGGTTGTCACACCGTTTGTCGTCGTTGTCGTCGGGTCCAGGCCCTTGGCGTAGCTGCTGTCTGCGTACGCGTGAAAACAACACCTGACCAGGGCGTTGGCCGCCATATCACGCTTGCAAATGAAGGCATGACACTCGAGAACTTTGATTCCAGTCGTCCGTCTCAAAACGGCGGCGAACAGAGGCGGATGGTTGGCGCTAGGCGTCCTAGCGAACGGCGAGTCCAAAGGTAGGAACCTCGTGTTCGACGAGTCCCCGCTTCCGCCTTTTACGTGTCGAACAGCCGCGCAATAGTGCAGCGCTTCAATGGGAAAGAACCTGGTGACCTTTTTGCGGTGCTCGTCGACGTTCTCAAGCAAAAGGCCGTTGCTCCAGACGCTCAGCCAGGAGTCGATTCCACGTGCTCCCAGCGCACCCTGCTCGGGGTACAGCTCCCTAAGCGGCTCCTGAACACCCAGCAAACCCTCTTTGCTCGCGTGTGGCACAGAGCTGCCCAGATAGAGGACTCTGCACCGGCAATACGGCGTTGCCGAATCCTGATTGGCACCCCTCATCTTTCCAGATGATCTTCCCGACGAAGCAACGAATAGAGAGTCGTCTCCCTCCTTTGACCCAAGGTACAAGTCAAACGTCGAGCCCGAGCAGACCATGCACGATCACGAAGATGCTACGTTCGATGAAGAACTCCCGAACCATCGAACACCATCCGTAAACGACATCCAAAGCACAACACGCGGTCCAACCACGGTGCACACGGAATCTCGAAGACTCCACCCGGTAACTCACTTCACTCGCGATTACGCAGTCACTTTCCAAAGACGCAGCCCGTCCGACGTTGCAAAATACGCGTGCGTGGACGACGAGGAGAGCCGCTCTCCGCTATTTCGCAGCAGCTGTAGCCGCCACTCGCTCGAGATCGCGTCAGGCCATTATGGCCGCCTTCTGACGGCCTCCCCCACCCGGCGACCAGCACTCCTCTTCCCTCTGCCTGGGCTCTCGGTCGTCCCGTCTCTCTTGGCTCTCGCCAACCTTTTCCAACCTCCCACTCTGGCCAGCCGGGTCCCCTGTGGTATGCAGCGTACACCAGTGGCGTCGACGTCCTCCCGATTGCCCCTCGCCTCCACGTGTGCCGATCGACAGGTACACACCCGGCACACCGACGGGCGAATGCTTACCGACGCGACGTGGAATTCAGCGGACCCTCTGCGCAGCTCTTCTGGAATCCAGAGGCGCGGCCGCAGGCGTCAGCCACGCGAGCCGTCGTCTCCGAAGTTCCTGCGAACCTCATCGGCTCCGAACAACGGAAAATGGCGCTGCACGCTCGTCTCTGCGTTCCTGGTCGCTCCGTTCCGCGATCCCTTCTCGCCTCGACCGCGGACGCTGAACCGTACACACAGATGGCGCTGTTTCTACGTTTACCTGGCGATCCTGAACGCCGACCACCGACGAATCTCGATATCCTTCAGGATTCCCCGGGAACCGTTTTCACGAACGACAACGAAGGACACACCGCGTCCTGGACAGTCCCTTCGGGCCCACCGAACGCGGCACGAATGCGAGTGGAACAGCGAGCTGCGACCGCCTGTACGCTCCTCGTTGGACTGATGCCCGATGGAAGGCGTGAGACTCCGTCGGTCGGGGCCCCACCACTGCCGACCTGGCCCCTCTTTCTCTCCCGCCGCTTTTCTGCCTCGAGAGAGGCACTCCCTGACTTGCCGTGTCGCCGTACCTGCCTCGGGAACCCTTCGCCCGATGGGGTGTATGGAATTGTGCCGAGGGAAATGGGCATTCTTAAGTTGATTTTATGGAGGAACGCTAATAGCTCTCTCGCCTTTTCCCCTGGCGATGATGCAACGCAGCGTTTTGTCGCCACTGGTCGAGCTATTGCGCGTCGAACGATTGGCAGGGGACTTTGTCTTCGAGCTTCCTATGCTCTGACTCATGCTGATATGCCTACCGATGTACCCTGGTGTCTTTTTCTCGCGAAAATCTTCATCTAAACTTCTTGTGGTTTGTACACTGGCTACTTTTAAACGAGTGTTCCCAGAATCACTTTTGAATTTAGGGGGATCTAGTTCTTAAGCATGTAGGCCCATTTTGTATGCATATAGAATTTTTTGTTATATTTATAATTTATTCGTATAACGTTTAGTTTCAGAGATATAAATCGAAAACTTAGAACACCTTTTTCCTAAAATTCAATTTTTGCAACGAACTTCTAACGTTTCAATTTTTATCTTCGAAACGAAGCATCGTACGAATAAATTGTAAATATAAAGAAGTTTCTTCTCATCATCCTCTGTTAGCTGATATTTTTTAAAAATTGATTTAACGAGTACAAAGATTTCTCTGAGCCCATTTCTCGAGAACGTAAATATACGTACTTCGCAGTCAAAGAATTAACTGACTCCCAAACTGTCCTCGGCTGCCAACTGCAAAATCGTCATGCCACATAAAAGGAAACGAAGCACCTGTTTCAGTTGCATTATGATCGATCTCTCGTACGGTTGCACCCTGGAATACACACGCGTCGAACACCTACCGGGGTGTATTTACAATTGTAATCGTGGCTGATTACATCAGCCGTGCGAAAGGAAAGTAGTCCGAGTTCGTTAACGCGGGGTTTGAATTAGTTCTGAACACTTCACCAACCGATCTGCCGACGATCTAGACATCGACGAAGAAAGTTCTTTCGAAAGAATCTCGAGAATGATCCGCCAGACTAGGAATTCGACGACTGAAGTAGTATTGGCGAGGGCAGCCAACTGCTTTTGGAAGCGGGGCACGTAATGGAATTCACGAGCAATAAATTAGTTCTCATAAATATTTAACTTAACGACTTGTTATTGCAACTATGCATCGCGCGGACGGGTGAAAGAAAAACTGACGTCTGAACTCCGAAGAAACTAGTGTCCTTTCATTCGGAATCCCCAGGTAGAGAGCTGGAGGCCGGGTTTCTCAAGGAAAACCTGTGTTTACTAGCTTTATTCTTAGTTGATTCCTTGGAGATACTGTTTATGTAGAATATTCCAGGTTCGTCAAGCTCAAATTCGTGTCTTTTCGTTTTGTGACACCTATCTAATCTCGAGTTAGTCCCAGGATTCTTCATTTTGCCAGGATTCATCATCAGCCTATACCAGAGCTACTCTAGGTTCTAAGCCTATCAATATTTAAATTTCTAAATCCTTAAGCTTTCCAAGAATCTCACCAAAAGCATCTGCTAGTCTTCCCAAGACTTCAAGTCAAACCTCTGAAGATGCCCACTTTCCCAAGAATTCTCCCATCTTTCTTTCCCCCGATTTCTCTTCAGCCTAGTGACCCCTCATTTGTCACACCTTCGGTGGTGTTCAAGGCCAGGTAAACCGTCCAAGGGAAAAGAGCCAGATACCAGACAGAAGTCCGTTGTCCCGGGCAGGTGGCGGGCCTCCGATAAGCGCGCACCTGTGTCAGAGCTCACCGACCCGCCCTTTATAGGTCAGAGACTGCGCGCGTACCGTGGAAGACCTGAATGCGTGTGATTCTCTTTTGACAGAAGCCGATTCGAGGTCTCCAGGTCGAGCCGTCTGGACGTCCGTTCCTGCCGTGCGACCGCGAAGGCGAAATCGCGTACGTTCGTTGCGCAACGCGACGAATCGAAGCCTACGCTTGGCATTTCGGCTCTAATAGGGGCCACAGTCGTAACCATTAATCATGGCGACGGTTCTACCAACTTGTCTCGCGTCCTTTTTTTTTTGGTACGCTGGTAATGATCTGTCGTTTGGCAAATCTTGGTGGAAAGTAGTACAGAGTGTGATTGAATGAAGTTGTACGTTGTGCTCCAAGG